TGCTTTCTCAATCACTTCTAAGTTCTCTTTGATTGTCTTTGAACTGTAGAGTAGACCAATATCATCTACATAACTTGAAGATCTCACTATTTTCATCTCTCTATTCTTGAATAGATATGCAGTGTATATTGCAAATAAAACAGGTGAGATTGAAGATCCTTGTGATACTTCTATTTTTATCTCAGTTTTATCTTGTTTTCTTCCATCAAAGAATAGTTGTATAATTCTTTTAGACATGAAACAATTGACTCATTTTATTAGAGAAAGTGACAGTTTTAACATCTTCAAAGTTTGAATCATCTTAGACTTTGACACATGATCAAATGCATCTTTTATATCAATAAAAACTGCAGTTGAGACCAGGCCTTGATGCTTTGCTACTTGAATATCATGAATAACTGAGAGAACAGTATCAATTACAGAACATTGTTTTCTATCTTTCATTTATTCATTAAATAGAAGAGAATCACTAATAGAGCTTGTAAAAGATAATCTAGTAGCTATTATCTTTTCTAGAATTTTTTCTAAACAGTTCAACAGAGATATTACTCTATATGACTTAGAAATTGAAGCCTTTCTATTAGGTTTTGCAAGGATTACTCCAGTAGCTTCTCTCCAGCATTCAGAATGATAATCATTTTTTAAGAGATTGAAAAAGAGCTCAAAATATTCATTCTTCAAGTAGAAATATGTGTTTTAAATAATTGAGTGATTAATTGAATCAGGCCCTGCAGCAGTTTTAATTGAACTTGAGAATATTGCTGACTCTAGTTCATCATATGTAAGCTCAGACCATTCCCAGTTATTTTCATCAATATATTCATGAAATGACATATTCTCCTCTTCTAAATGTGATGATGAGTTTTGAAAGAGAATTCTCATAAAAGCTTGACATTTTTTCTCAAAAGAATTTGCTGTATATAATTCATTCTGAAATTCATATTCTAAGGTTGAAAGCTTTGCTACACTTCTTGTTTTAGTATAGTTGAAGACTTTGAAAACTTCTTTTCCTTATGCTTCTTCAAGAAATTTGTTTCAGCAATCTGTTTTGACTTTTTTAATATCTGAAAAATATTCATTTTGAATAGCTTTGAACTCTTCATCAGATATTAAGTGATTCTTCCAATCTCTCTTAGCAGTGACTAATTGCTTTCTTTTAGAAGTGATATTCTCATTCCATCAAGGTTTGAAATACTCAGAAGACTTTTTCTTTGAAATATTTTCTTTAATACTTGTTAGAAGAATAGATGTAATCAGCTTTACTCTATTCTCAAGCATTTCATTTGATATATCTTGACTTTGATTTCAATAGAGCTCACTCTGTCTTTCAGATTTCAGCTGTTTTACTCTTTCTTCAACTGCTTTTCAATCAGCTTTTTCAAAGTTATACTGATTAGAGAGAAGAGGATTTTCACTTCTTTGTTTTTCACTCAGTTCAATATCAAATTGAATGATCTCATGACCTGATTCTGAGGTTTCATTTGAATCAATAAATCAGTTTATAAGTCTTTTTTCAATTAGATTTTGTGACATGAAAGTTAGATCTATAATAGATTTCTATTTCATGTCTTTTCTAAAGAATGTTTGTTGATCAGACTTGTTAACTAAATCTATTGAATGCTTAAAAGTTTATTCAACCAGTTTATCTACTCTTACTACTCTTGTGCACTCTGAGTTCCATCAGGGATGATGTGCATTGAAGTCTTCTACAATTATAGAGTTTTTTAAGGGAGTTATATTCAAAAATCCTCTATCAATTGTCCAGGTATTGTTGTTTTCTTTCAATGATTTTTCATTATAGATATTTATAAGTTGAATAGTATCAAACTCATTATCTTTATCTATAATGTCACTCACTAGAATGTCAGAGTCAGATATGATATCAAATCTCAGATTAAATTGATATCTTGATCTTTTTCTCCCATAGATTGCTACTCTTGATTTTATCTCAGATTTTTCAGGAAGAAAGCAGTAATAGCTTGGATGAGAAATGATGTACTTTTGCTCAGTATCAAAATTTGATTCTTGAAGAAGTACAAAGTCAACTTTTTATTCAAATACAATCTGAAGACAAGAATAAATGCAATTTGAGTTTCTATCCACATTATTTTAAATAAATGTGATTTTTGAAGAGTTTTTAAACTTTTTTTGTTGTTTTTGTTGTACATTCATACTAAAAGAGAGTGAAGATATAGTAGAATCTAATCACTATCATCAGATAGTCAATTATAACTATTTTGAAAAGCAGGAATCTCAACTGCTTACATTCTATCTAGTTTATTATCAGAGTCATTTCTCAATTCTCTAATCTTAACAGGTATTTGAGAATTCAAATTCTGTTTACATTTAGCTGGAGAATTGGAGTTTGAAGACCTAGATAGTTGAGAGTTTCTTCTTTTTAAGCTTGCAGTTGTGAATTTACTAGCTTGACTTTTCTCTTCAGTTTTAGATTCACTTTGAGCTTCATCTTTTCTCCAGTTCTTCTGAGTTCTTGGAGCAAATACACATTCTTTTGAGCTAGATGCATGTTTTTCTTTGCAATTGAAGCACTTAAGCAGAGTATATTGACATATTTCATCTCTTTTTGAGCATGTTTCACATTTATGCTCACTAGTTTTGTGATCTCTAGCACAGAATGTGTATTTTGAGTCTCTGAAACAAGAGATTGCAAAGTGTCCATATCTTTGACAGTTTGAACACTGTGTTTGAGCTTTGAGATTCATTCTTGAATCTTTGTATTCATGAACTCTCATTTTCAAACCTGCTACTCTTACTTCAGAGATTCTTGATTGTTCAAGTGTCTTTGTATATACTAGAACAGAGGCATTTCTTCTGCTCTGTCTGAACTCAATTGAATTAAGTCATACAGGCTCTTTTCTCAGTTGAATAGAATTGTATTCTTCTAATTCATTTTTAAGAAGCAGCATTTCTTCCTCACAGTCAAAAATTTCAACTGGAATATCATAAAGAATGAATTTGTCCCACTTTTCATCTCTTTCAGATAGAATTATTGTATTCAGTAGAGATTCTATTACTGATTTTCAGAGATTCTCATTCTGAATGAGAAATTCTGCACTGAATTCAGGCATTGTAGTCAAAATAATAGAGTTTTCAAAGAAAGATGACTCAATTGAAGCTATGACTGATTTTTGAACTTCAATATCAGTCATTAACTGAGAAAAGAACTGCTGATTAATTTCATTTCTAATTCTGAAAATAAGATTTGAGTTTAGCTTGTTTTTTTGCAAGCTCTTCTGATTTGAGACTTTGAGAATAAGTCTTCTATTTCTGAAGATTTGAAAGTTCTTCTCTTTTTGCATTTCTTTTTTTTCCTTTCTATGAACAGAGATCTGAGAAATATTCTTCTCAGTTTTCTCAGAATTTTGAGCAGATTTTGAACTAGCAGATTTGAAGACAGCAGATTCTGCTACTTAAGCATATATTTTCTTCTGATTTGAAGAAGAAGATGAAGAAGTAGAAGATGAAAAAGAGTCAGTGACTGTACTGAAAGATTTCAATGTTTTTTGAATTGTGTTTGAAATTCCATGTTTGAACTTGATCACTTCTTGTAGTTGTCTAGCCTGAGTATGAAGAATTAACAGAACTTCTTCATTCTCCTCACTCAGACACTGTTTTCTAAGAATTTTGCTTGCTTTTTCCAGTTCCTGTATTTTGAGAACTTGTTGTTTCTCTATTTCTTCCTTCTTTCTTCTCTTTAGAATTTCAATCTCAGAAATGGCATCTGGGAAAACATCTTTTTCCACATCAACTGAGTGTACTCTTGAACTCATTTTACTCACTGAATGAAAAGTTAATCAGACTGTTTCAATTGAGAGATTTATCAGTATATTTTCAAATGAAAAGTTAATCAGACTGTTTCAATTGAGAGATTTATTAATCTATTTTCAAATGAAAAGTTGATCAGACTGTTTCAGTTGAGAGATTTATTAGTCTATTTTCAATTGAAAAGTTGATCAGACTGTTTCAAAAGAAGAATGAAAGACTTTTGTGTATAAAACATCTGATTTTTTTTCACACTAGTTCAGTAACTAGGTTAGATTTTTGAAGAGAATCTAATAAACTAAAAGTAATTTTTAAGATAAATCAATAAAATCTTTACAAACTCTTTCTTGAGATACAGTGAGGAAAAGTATGATATCAATTGATAATAAATCAGATGATATGACAGTTTTTGAGAGAAAAACTGATAAAAAATAAGTCAATTTTTTGCAGAGAAATTGATTAAAACTATTCAATTTTATTCTAAATCATTCAATTCTTCTCATACAACAAGTGTGCAACTCAAATCAGTCAATAAAGAGTGTAAAAGAGAATTAAGTATTAATGAAAGCTCTTCAGTCACTGAAAAAGTAATTCTTACTTAAAAGAATATGAAATTATGACAGAAAACAACTCTGTTTTTAATTCTTTGTAAGAATATTGTGTAAAACCCAGAGAAAAACACCTTACTTTTTCAAGAGAAGTAAAAAACTATTTCTAAGATCTTTTTTCTTTTATTGCATTAACTGCTGCAGAAGAATGAGATAGAAACTGCTAAGATATACACTACTGTATACTCTCTATCAAGACTTTCTCTCTTCAGAGTCTTGATATTATAGAGAATATAAGTCTGTTTCTATATAATAATGTAAATATTGTCAGCGGGATGTAGAGAAACTGGTTATTTATATCTTAAAATAGAAGACTTTGTCAATGATTATATCAATATAGAGTTAATTCTCAAATTCAATAGAAACCTAGTGTTGCTGTTCTCAATTCCTTGCAGAATCTATTGAATATTGAGATATTAAAACTAGATTTAATATATCTCACTGTGCAGGGATCAAAGGCTCAGTCAGACCTTGGAATATACTGATTTTATAGTTGTTGATGTGCTGTTGACTCATTGTCCACTGGTTATGTATTGAATGCTGTTGCCGAGGTATCTTTTTGTATTGTTCTGCTGGGGATGGGCCAGATTGAGAGGGGTAGTACAAGGGTGAGACTTGGTGTTGAAGTCTAGATACACTGGCGACGGACCGTGGAGGTTGCACTTCAGAAGAGTCTGTTGATTATGTGCTTGATATTATCGCCGAGGTATCTTTTTGTATTTTTCTGCCGGGGATGGGCCAGATTGGGAAGGGCGGTACGAGGGTGAGACTTGGCGTTGGTGTTTTGGAACATCAAAGATGGACAGGGTTTTCGCGGAGGTCGCTCCTCGGATATCTCCACAACTACAGGTCGGGGATCTTCCAAAATCGAGAAGATTGGTGCATATGGCTAGGTCACTTCACCTTACAATTTGTATGGCACTCTGGCCCGGGGTTGTGGTGTGGTAGGGGAGAGCGGGGGATAATCCCACACAGGAGCTTCGAACAACGTCCGGTTCACATTTGGCTGGATAACTCCACCACCACACAGGGTATGCGGTCGGCGATGGGGTCAGAATGCTCGTATGATCGAGGGCTTTTCGATGGATCTATCGGCGGGTTCTTATTCGAAAAATCGAGCGAGTTCGTGGTGGAGCGGTTGTCACTGAAGCTTTTCTGTCAGCATTCGTCATTCAGTCAAAATCAAGTGATTGACAGTAATGAATATAGAAGCAGAAGCTGCAGAGAACAGATCAGTGATTATAAGTGATTAAAGAATTAACAGCTGATTCAGAAGTAGTTGAGTCAGTTCAAGTGTTAAGATCATCAAGAGCCGGCTGCTCTGATGAATCTGTATGTATATGATCAGCAGGCTCATCTGCTGCAGCAACTGCTGCAGCAGCTGTCAAATAACAGCATTTGATATTACAGACATGTTCATGATTGAGAGCCTGACAGTCATTGCAGTTCTTGAAGACTTGATTGACAGTATGAAACAGATGAGATGAACAGTCTTCACAGCATGTATCACAGTGCAACAGCTCAACTTGTTGTGAGTTGAGTACAAAAGCAGCTACATCTCTCAATGACAGATGAGAGGTTTGAACTGAACATGACTGACATGCACAATGTTGAGCTTGACAGCACATAGAGCATGTACAGAATAATGCATTGAATTGAGGCCATTTAAACATGCTGAGAGGATGAGAATTCTCACATGCTGAGCAGCAGCGCATGAAATGAGTATATTAATAAATATATAGATTGAAATGAATGTAGAGAAGAGTATAAAGAATGTAAATACAGTAGAGAACATCTGTAAAGAAAAGAATGAAGATTAATATCAGAGCTGTACAGACTGCAGAGCTGGCTGTTCAGATGAATTTATTTTAATAAGATGTATATAATATTATATGAGGTCATGTTACAGAGCATTTTACTTGGAAAAGTTGATTTTTCTATAATATATAGAGAGATTTTATATTTTTTTTATATTTTATATTTTTTTTATAATTAAAATTATATAAATTATAATCTATATTTAGAAAAGTAATGATATTTTGTGATTCAAAGGTTGCTTAAGCCAGCGTATGATTACAGGCGTACGCCGGCTTCTTATATATTGAATCTCGTACGCTAAAATTAATTAGTGGCCGCTAGGGCCCCTTCTTTACATTCATACGCGTACGCTAGTAGTTCGGAAGCGGCCGCGTTATTATCCGACAGTCGTATGTTCTTCTGAACCACATCCTCTCTCACCAGATTCAGTCACGCTCACATGACCATGTCATACACTCTAGCTTCATGCAGATTAGCTCACCACTAGTGTTTCACAATTGTGTGACCTATTCCTGATTCAGCTAGCATTCTGCATACACTCTTACAGAGAAACTTTTACTATATTACATCACTCATTAACTAACTTTTTTCATTCTTCAATTATCTTCTTCATTTCATCATCATTGAACATCACTATCATTCAAGATTTCTACCTCTTCTTCTATTCAACTCTTTCTATCTGTTCATCTATCACATTATATGTGTTTCTGATAATAGCCTCTCATTCTCATAATAAGCATCATTGTAGTGCTTATACCAGGCAGTTCATTAGCAGTAAGTGTAACATGTTGTGAAATGTGATCAGAACTTGTTTATCTTCTAATAATTATCAGAATAATGTATTATTATAAATGATGACACATCTTCTTCATCTTCTTATACACTCTTGACTGTTTCTCTTCTCAGTGAGTTTCTGATCATGTTTTCTGACATGATTTTATATGAATGCAGATGCTGATATATTTGTTTTTATTTGTATAGAATTTTCATATGTTGACAGATTCACATCTGCTGATGATAGTGAACTCAATATTGTATTCTTGATTGAGAACTTGAAGAACATGATAATGAAGAAATTGCTCATGTTATATGTGACTGAGTTTTCTGCATTTCTTCTTATTTCTTCTGCTGCTTCTTTCTCTACTACTTCTCTCTCTGTTTCTTTCTCTGCCACTTCTCAATCTTCTATACTTGTCTCTGTGTCTGGTTCTCCCGCTTCTGCTACCTCTGTTCTCATGACTCTCACTTCTGTCACTTCTGGTTTTATCATCTCTGCTTTTATTATCAGCTCTCTCTGTTTCAAGAAGATGTTGCATAGACTTAATGAATCATATTTCTCAGTGTATACACTCTCACTCTTCTTACTGACCTCTAGAATAATTTATTGTACAAAGACAGTGTATAACATAACTATCTGAAGTTCAGTTGTGAATGCTGATTATTACATTCATTTTAAATATTTGTGATAAGATAATTGTTCATTCATCTCAGAGAATCACCTCTCTCTTCAACAGTGTTAAAATTATAAGTCTTTTTCTTCTTTTTCATCTTTATCTTTCTGATGCTGATTTTCCTGTTCTTAGAAGAAATTATTATAGATTTTACTGTGTATGAAGTCATAATATTCACAGACATTAAGAAACTTTTTATAACTGTAAAGTTCAACATCATGAGAACATCTGCTCTGATGAATTTCTTTGAGATGATCAATCTGTATTAGCCTATTCTCTGACATCTGTTGTCTGACTTCATAGTGCAGGTGAAAGATATCTGTGTTTTTGAGAACAGAAACACAGATATCATACTCTTTTACACCTGCAGGTATAAGACTTGTATGCCTTGTCTGAGATGTCATTGTGAGAATGAGCTATTCACACACTGCATTCTACTTCCTGCATTCTCTCATGTTCCTTTCTCTCTTTCTGAGAAGCCTCATGTGTGTTGTAATTGCATGTATAACTCTAAGATCAGTGAGTGTTCATTTAGCAACTGTTCTCACTTCTGATTTTTCAATTTTCATATACTAACAATAGTTCTTAGTTGCTTCAGCATCAGAGATCATTCTAATTGAAGATAATAACACTGCAGAGACTACTCTCTTCTGCTCTTAAGCTTCTTCTGTTACTTTCTCTTCCTTCTCTGCAGAGAAGGTTGTATGCACATCAGATTATAATTGTTCAGTTTCAGATGACTTCTGTCATCATTTATTCAGTTCTGTACCTTCTTCTTCTTCTGTTTCTTTCATCTCTGTTCTCTCTGCTCTGACTTCTGATTCTGCAGGTTCTGCACTCTTCTTCAATTTCTCTACATGTATGTGTGTACATTTCTATATTGACATTCCAGTCAATCTTGTGATAAATGACATTAATGTTATACACAGAGTGGTAGAGGAATTGAAGATGTGCACAGTGTTGTTGTGAGAGCAGCTTACAGCTCTCAAATTCCTTACAAATCTCAAGTTTTGAGATTTCCTTTGTTTTTGATGTTTTTCAGATGACATGGTGTTGGAAATAGATTAAACATGTGATGTATGAAAATAAATGAAGTGTGTATGATAACATTTGTCTTTTTACAGTTAATTCTTACAGTTGATGATTAATTCATTATCTCTTTTCTTTTTCTTACACTTTTCCTTTATCTGCTAGTCACTACTCTTATGCGACCTCTATATGATACAGTGTTCAGTGACTAGATTCAGTAGCTTTCATTTTTGTGATTCTGTCTCATGCATTATACTGTCTCTCTTTGCCCGCTCAGATCACTACAGTGAACAGTCTATTAAAACTAATCTTGTCTGATCTCTGAGCATTCTCAGAGGTTGAGATAACTTAGTCTCATGTGTCTGTGAATGTTTCAGATAGTTCATCCTCTGTGGTCTCTGTGATTGAACTGGTATAAACAGTTAAATTCAACTCTGAATTTCTTTTTCTTCTGCAATCTGACTCACATGCAAGTCTGTTACTTTGAGATCACTCTTTGTCATATTGCACTCACTGTCTGCAGTGTGTTATTATATAACTAGCTACAGTCTCATCACTTATTAAAGTGTGATATTCATCTGATTTCTTCATTACTTCTTATTCTTTCCTTATAATTATGAAAAGATTGGAATAAGTGAGATCATCTGATTTGTAAGTGTCTATGATTTCTCTTACTTTGTGAGACTTTTCAATTGTAAGTCTCTTCTTTTTCAACACTGATAATAGTGCTGTGAATAATTATAATTCACTCAGATCTTGCATCTTTACTTTTATAAGTTATGAATCATTAATTAAGTTGCATAAGATTCATTTCTCTGATTCTTTCAATGTGTACATTCTCAGAGAATGTGATTTGAGTATTTTATATGACTTAAATTATCTAGATTAAAACTTCTCAGAACTCTCATTGCATACAAGAACTCATGTTTTCATCTTGAGACTCAATTTCTTAACAAGTGAGTCTCATATTCTTTTCAATTGAATTGCTCAGTTCAGGAGTAACTCATTAGCTTTTGCACATGCGTGGCTGATCTCTTTCAATCTTGGTTTCATGTCTGTGACTGCTGCATTCACAACTGCTGTTTCTGCTGCATCTGCAACTGTTCTCTTCTCCATCTTTTCTGAAGCATTCTCTGGGATGCGCGGATGCAATTCATACAACAGGTAGAATGATGAATGCTTGAAGACTGCATGCTGTTGAATTCATGTGGCCAACAGCACCTGCCTGAGATATTCATCTCATAGTCTTGTAGACTTGCTCACTAGATATTTCATCAGCATGTTACTCAAGATTTCATTCAAGTGTTTCATCTTTCTGTTTGTCTGTGAATGATATGATGTTGTTCTACAATGTCTTGTCTGTAACTGGCTTATAAAATGCCTCATCACTTCTCTCATAAGGTTTGCACTGTTATCAGTTAGAATCTCACATGGCATTTCATAGTTGACATAGATCTCATTATATAGAAACTTCACTATCATCTTCTCTATCATCTCTGAAACTGCTTTTGTGACTGATCAGCTAGTAGCATAATCAATAGCAGTGATTATTCATTAATTTTCATTTGATGTTCATAGTAATATGTCTATAAGGTTCATCTCTCATTGTTTGAATAGTTGTATTATACACTTTATCTGATGTTGTGCTTTCTTGCATTCTAATTCTTTCTTAGATTCTTTCATGACCTGACAATTCAGGCACTTGTAAGTGTACATCTGAATGTTCTCAGCCATGCTTGACCAGTATACTCTTGATTTAAGTATGCTTATGAGTTCAGGGCTTTCTAAGTGACTGAATTCCTTGTGCATATGAGTCATTAAGTCATATCTAAATGAAGATTCTAGATAGAGAGCTTCTGCATATTCTAGATCACAGTAAAACACAATGTTGTTTTTTAATTTTCTCAGCTTGAAGTTCAGAAGCATCTCTTCTACTACTTTTATAAGACAC